CTTTTTATTAATACTTACAAATATTTTTTTGTTTTAAATAATATAGAGCAGAAATCTTCAACTTTGCTTGGTGACCAGATTTTATTTTCAAATATTAAATCGGATAAACCTACCTCAAGTAAAAATACTGATATGTTAGTTGATAAAAACCTACTAGGCTTCGACAGCAAATTGTACAAATTTCTAAATAGCAATATTCAAAACGCATCTCTCAGAAGACTATTTTTTAACTCTGGTGTAAATTACAACCAGTTCATAAATATTAAGCTACAAGTATATAGTATTCGTATTCTTTCAAATTTTGTTGTCGCTTCAGCAAATGAAGATGAATATGGACAAATTCTTGTGACTGTACCTTTGATTATAAAAATATTGCTAGAATATTTAGATGTATTGGTACAATTATCTAATATAGGATCGAACGCTACTTCAAATAGCAACAATATTTTAGCAAAATCTAATAAAAGCGGTAACTTTATTATTCAAACATCTGTTAAAGAAATATATATTTTAATTCAAGGTAAATTGCTTTTTTAAACTACTCAATGTAATATTTTATCACAATACTTGTTTTTTTTTTAAATTATAAAATTAATCATTAGTTTTGCGTTCTTCTATTTACGCAATCATTGGTCGCTTTTATGAGCATTTGGCGGAGCTCAACCTAGAAACACAAACAAAAAAACAGTTACAGTTTTTCGTTGATTGGAAGGGTTAAATTTTTTATATTAGAGTTCAAACGTTTTTAATTACTATTGTTTTTATTATTATCTTACTAATCATAAATATATAAAGGATGATTTATCACATAAAAGGCTTTATTAATACTTTTGTATATTGATTAAAATACAAAAATATATGAATATAACAGTCTGTATTTATGCTAGTACTTTGAAAAGTGTGGTTTGATCCTTTTTATTAAATTCTGCTTCAGAAAACGAATCAAAAGTAAAAATATACTGACTTTTTATTAGTGCTTGAACTTAACTCATATATTCTATTTACGCAAGTCTTTAGGTGCCACATTTATAAAAATTAAAATTAATGATTTATCATTGTCTGATTAAAATCACATTTTGGTGAATTTTTTTTTAAATAATTTATATAATTAAGGTCTTGTGTCATATAAAAGGTTAATTTTTGTATACACTATAATCAATTATTTTTATAAAATGTTTTGTGGTATTTAATCTAGTTTAAAGGAACTATTGGATTATAAACACAAAAGATACATTATTGTAAGTAAAATTTAGTATACAAAGTATAA